CGTCATTGATTAAGGAATACACAAGTACTACAGCTGCAGTTTGTGTGGCCCTACCGAAAGAATAATCATGACTAATGCCTGGATCACTGGAACACAGCTTATCCACGCCATCTCCCCGAGTGCACCGGCTCTTACCTAACAGCGGGATCCCCAGCTGGCGCCTGAACAGCGTGTGGATCTTCTCAAGCTGGCTGCAGAGCATCTGCTGCTGCTCAGGAGATGGAACGCTGCCAGGAGCTGGCTACAAACAAAAGGATTGAAATTTAATCAGTTCCCTCAAGCCTGAGCTGATGAACATGATGGGGTATTGTTTATGAGTTGGAGGATCTGGGCTCCAAACGATTACATGATCCTTGAAGAACAGACACAGCCAACTTGCATTTCAGGTCACCACTGTGAAAGCTAAAACTTGGAAATTGCTAGACTCAGAAGCCAGATGAATGCGAAAAATCATTCTTTATTGAAAGCTGACACATGTATAGGGAAATGATAACCTGAAGAAAAAGTAAGCAGCATGTGCCCATGCCACTTCACAAACCCACAGGGCTGCCAAATAGTTTTTCAGTAAATCCCTGGTATGTGCACAGATGATTTAAAACTTCCACCTTTCTTTCTGTTTGTGAATGAAAGGGTGTTCTCCCACTACTCCTTCGTTAGAGCACTTCATAGAATGGGGTTGGAAAGGAACTTTAAAGATCATCTAGTTTCACCTCCACCTACTGTGGACAGAGACATCTTTTAACTTCCATCTCTTATGTAGCAAGCTACAAATAAATCAGAAGAAATATTCACATTTTGGCCATCTTGTATACGTATCGTTTGCAGATGTAAGGCTGTATTTCCAGGGATAACAAACTATCATCAAAAAAAAAAAAAAAATCAATCACAGAAAGTGTGAAATAATGAACGAGTTAAACACTGAAGTAGAAAACAGTCTAGAAATGTAAACATGATTGACTATGTGCAAAAATATTCACTGGCAAGAACATCGTCTAATAATGAAGCTACTCCATTTAAAGCTGTTCTTGTCAGTTCAAGCTAAAGCAGCAGAGTGAAACTTTGCTTCTGGATATGAGATTTTATCATTTTATTGAAACACAAATCCACTAATTTATCAACTGAATACAGAAAACATTTTTCCCAGACCAAAGGGGTCAGTTTCTACAGCTGAAAAGAAACAACCGCGTGACATTACAGCCTCTTTTCTCGGAGGAGACTGATGAGGGGGCAGCACAAGATGACTCTGGAAACTAGACCACAACTCGTTTTGTCTGACAAGAGCCCAGGAGAGCAGCCTTACCTGCGCCGTTTCCAGGATGGCGTTCTCAAACTCACGGTAGGCTTCCCATAAAGCTGTTCCTTTCGTCACGTGCAGTCCAACTGCAGTTAACGCTCTCTCAAATATTGAGCGAACTTTCTCAATTCCTCCTTCCTGACCAATGCCACCAATTGAATACTGGGCATATTCCAACCAAATTTCAGGACCTAAACGAGATGATGAGAAACAGATGACCTAATCCCCTCAAAAATTGAAAAAAAAAAAAAAAGGCATCCCTCTGCTTCCCAAATACCTCATTTGCTGCATATAAAGAGACCAACACGTGACATTTTTCTTTACCATCCAATGTAGTAAAGAAAGTTAAAATATTTTATTCTATGCCCTTGCTTCAGCACCGGCAGCTAGAGTTTTCTTCTGAAAGTAGTCATTCTTGTGGTTGTTACTGACACCGCCTAACTCCTGTCAAGCCACCTCTGGTGCACAAGCTACATCAGAGATGCATCAAGACCCCCCCAACAGCAACTTCACTGTTCTTGAGCCCATGTGCAGAGCTGGGAACACAAAGCTGTTGCACTCCTACATAACTCAGATTAAAGTAGGTCCCTTCTTCTCTTTCCGGACTCCTATACTTGCCTGTTCAGCAAGTGCTGAAGCAGCATAATCACGAGGTGAGGAGGAGGTGCTAGAACAGCGTTAGCTGCCCGGCACCTCTCCCACCAACACCAGTCCCTGAGGAAATTAGGCTCAGGGACCCCCAGTAGAGCCTGTCCAACCAAGGGAGGGCAGATTGCACATCTCAGGCTCCAGAAGTCCTTCCCAAACCCCAAGTGCAATCCATCCAGCAGATCTAGGATACATCCTCTCAGTTCATGTCCCTGTTCCTTCTTCCTGAAGGATCACCAACACCCTCGGCCAGCTGTGCCGGTGCTGTAGTGACATTTTATCTACAGCTTTTGCAAGGGATTTGCCTCCATGTTAACCAGCCCTCTGCTGCTTCAGGCTTCACTTTTCAGCACCTTACCACAACACCCAAAGAGCATGCAGTTACTCGGGGATTTAAGCTAAAAGTGTTAAGCTACAGCTGCCGACAGCTCCTGACAAACAGAGAGACAAGACACCCCGTACTTGTCTCACTTTTAATGAGGACGATCAGAGCCTGGTGCTGCAGCACGGCGAGGGTTACCTACTTCACAGGGTTTCAAGAACACTGTCTCCCAGACAGCAGTTACGAGCTGTTCTGAAAGAGCTGTCACACAGTGGAAGTGGCAGCAAAGACAGTGCTAACCAACCCAGAAGATGGGACTAGAAATCAGCCTTTTAAAAGCATTCACTTTCCTCAGAGAAAGAGCTAACGAACCTATGCTTTTAGAGGTTAGAGAAGTGCCAAATAGGCACTTAAAACTTTTTACGACATTTGCTTAGAAGATCTTAAAGGCTGCAGTGGCACTTAAAGCATTGCCTTTGAATGGCCTTAACTCCAAAGCTTCAGAAAAAACTGAGGATCACTTCACACTAATGTTTTTGATCCAACTTCTGCATTATGACAGAAGGAAGAAACTTTCCTAGAAAAAGAAAGCCACAATCTGAATTCAGCACAATACATTTAATAGAATGTCTTAACTTACAGATGTAATCTTTGACAGCTCTCTCAAACAGCTCATAAACCTTCTCTCGCTCAGAGCTTTCAGAAGCCATTTTTATCTCATCCTTCAACCAGTCCAGCCAAATTTCTGAAAGGAATAAGTTTAGAATACCAATGTTCAGAAAGTTAAATCCACTTGTTGAATTTTTTATGTGAGTTTTTAGTAACAGACTTAAAAACAGGGAGAGGGCCAAGGGGAAGAAGAGAGCAATTTCAGCCTCCACAACTACTCACAATTAATTTTAATGAAAAGTTTGGTAGAGACCTTTGCAAACTGATACCAAACAAGCACCCTTTTATTTAAAAAGAGCAGAAGTTGCAAGCAGCAATTTATCAGTACCTTGGGCAGAGGATCAGACTGTATTAGTAACCAAAGAGGCAGCCAGAGGTACACCTTGCCTCACACTTTTACAAGAAATAGTAAATGGCTTTAGAGACTGCAAGTTTCCACACATACAGAAGGAAACCTTCCCTTGCCAAGGCTAAAAGCACACTGGCAGAGCAGCCTCTGCAGTATTTACACTGCCTCTATGTTATGAGTAAAAAAGAAACACCCACTTCCAGGGTTACCTACAACTTCCACCAACAATTTTCTTTTTTGCTGCTTGACTGTGAAATGTAACTTTTTTTTCACCGGGTGACTGCAGCCGTTTCAGTGCTGCCATCCTACAGCTGTACATTAACTACCAGCCCCACAGCAAAGGCACCACAAGCAAACATACGCCTGTCCCTGGGCTACAGCGGGGCACATCCTGGCAGCGACTCACCCAGCTGACAGACAAACAGACAGACCAGAGACTGGAGTAGGTGGGCACATACAAACACCCCCACCCACCAGTTCCACGCTACCACAGCAGCCTCTGGCAGAGGCCAGGGCAGGTCGGCGCAGTCGCAAGGACTCAAATTCCTGCAACGGTCTTGTTACCCCACGTCTGCCAGAGGCCAGGCTCAATGCTGGTCATTAAGACCTGCAGCATTCAGTTTAAGAAGTCTTAAATCTATTCTTTTAGGTTTCTCTGGACTGGAACAATGTTGTTGAAGCCTGGCATTACTTCACTACTGAATCAATGGTATGTTACATGGATGATGCTTAAGCTATATCAGCTGCAACATGAGGAGAAGATGCTCTGTACCTTCAGTAAGTGGAAAGAGTTCACTCATCTTCTGACGAGCTCTTCTGAGCTTTACCAGCTCTCCCTCCTGGCGGAGCAGCTTTATCAGATCCAAGTGACAGTTATAATCAAAAGCATTGATGGAAAGCTTCAAAAAAAAAAAAAAAAAAAAAAAAAGGGTTTTTTTAGAAGTGCTGTTGAGCAATGGACATAAAGAAATCAGAAAACGTTCAGCAGAACAGATCATCTTACTCTCTTTTGGGGCATACAAAAGCCATCACATACCCAAGACAACACCTACCTCCCCATACAGAGCTGCAACACACTTCACTATTGTCTGCAAAACACTTTCAGGTCACAAGCAGACACTTATAAAAAACGCTTCCAAGTTTAACAGAGATTTAAATTTAAGCTTAGAGCTTATCTTACAGCTGTAAGCTCTAAAGGTTACTGCTCAGCAGTGCAAATACCAGCACCAGACGTGCAGCAGCTACCAGCTGCAGAAACTGACCACGGAGTGCAAAATAAATAGAACCTTCTTCAACAGAGCCAAATGTAGTTTAATTTCTTCAAAGACAATTAAAAAAACCCCAGACAGCTAGCAAACTTTTATTTTTGACGAGTACAAACTGTGCACTAGGGCTCCCCTCTCCAATTTCCCTCTGAAAAAACACCCAAAACGCTTAATTTTCACTTCAGACTCCAAACGTTAACATCGCGACAGTTCCCAGCATCAAACTACACGAGCAGCCATAGATTTTTTGGGTTTTTTTCCCATTACCACCGCAGCTGCTCCAGCAGGCAGTCATGAAAAAGAAAACCCCACGAAGGCCGGGTCTCCCCACACTCTGAAGTCTTCTAGAGGGGAGGCCTCAGTTCTCCGGGACGAGGCTTCCCCAGAACCCCGGGGCCGCTC